GCTCATGAACAGTAGAATACGGCGTTACGTTCTAGTTAAGCGTTGGGGTGAGGTCGTCCCGCCAGCTCTACCGCTCGCCTGGGAGGAGGCATAACCAATCGAATCCCGCGGCCGGGTTCACTCTGAGCTCTGACCTCGTGCCCATTCCCTCGCTAGCTTCGTGCCGTCTCCCCCCTTCTCGCGTGAGCCCTGTGCGTCACGCTCCATCCTCCCACTCCACAAGAGCCTCCCAGGTGCTGCTGTAGACTTTGGCGGCTAAGGGATAAGGTTATTAAAAGGCATTCTGCATTTTCTTCACGGTGATCATTAACCATTAAAAGTCGGCGTGATTGTCATGTAAAACCCGCTGCTTGCTAATTGCTCCATTAAACATCTACTGCAGCCCTTGCCCGAGTCTGTTGGCAGTGCCTCGTGCTGTGGGTGGTCTCCGTGACCCCGTGGCCTTGCACAGACATTGCTGGGGAATGCGACGGTGCAAGTGTAGAGGTGCTAGACCAGTGGTTCTTAACCTTGTTGGAGGTACTGAACCCCACCAGTTTCATATGCGCATTCACCGAACCCTTCTTAATTGGAAAAATAAAATGTGATTTTTTCAAATTCAAAACATAGGCATATGTTTTACTGGTGCACAAAATGAACCGTGCATCAACATTGTGTTCAAAGAACAAAACCAGCAAAACATGATTTTCACACAAAAACTAAATACTTGATACAGCTGTCGTGGCTGTGACGGTTCCACCTGAAGACGGAGGCTTGTGTTGCTTCCGAAACGTCGTGAATTTTTTCATTTGTTTTATTTTACTTTTATTAATTTAAATTTTTTACCTACGTGACTTTACCGAAAAAAACCTAAGAGTATGAATCCTTGCAGTCACGAAAGCTTCAAATCTAGAAATAATGAATACTTACTGCAAATCAGGGCCCGATGTACAAGTCTTAATTCACTGGCCAGGTGGTGTTGGTCAGAAATGCCATGAGCTCTGTGGTATAGTGTTTTGATGAGATTATTATTTTGAGCTGGGTGGTAGTGGGAATCAGGTTTCAAGTAGGAATCTGTGTGGGTGGCTTTCCTGTAGACAGAATGTCCCAAGGATCCATCAGATCTCCTCTCAAACAGAACATCTAAGAATGGTAGTTTGCCATCTTTCTCCACTTCCATGGTGAATCTGATCCTAAAAAACCTAAGAGTATAAAAAAATACACACAGACAGCAGCAGCAGCGTAAACTACTCAATATCCAACTACTCACTATTTAACTATTTAACTCACTCAATATTTAAATTCGCACTATTAAACTCACTATTTAACTAAATATTTAACTCACTATTTAACTCACTTTTCAACTACGCACTATTCAACTCACTCTTCAACTCACTCACTATTCAACTCAGGGGCCGTCCATAAATGATGTCACGTGATTTTTGACGATGTATTACCCCCCCCCCTCGTCAAACGGCGTCACAAAAAGTCAGACCTCCCCTCAAATATGACGTCACAAAGCTCTGCCCCCCCCCCAAACCATATTTCCATTTTGAAAAGAAAACATGCTTCAAATCGCTTTAAACGATTGTCATTGTAGTGCGTATTTAATGTGGCGCTGCACCCTGATGTTGTAGGAGTGTTGTTATAACAATTAGTGTTGTTATAACAATTCCATATTTATTTAAAGTTGCGCATTTTGATGTGACGTCACATTTCTCAACCCCCCCCCCCTCGTCACACATCGTCACAAATGTCTGACCCCCCCCCACCCAAGGTGCGTGACGTCATTTATGGACGGCCCCCCACTCATTATTTAACTCACTCACTATTTAACTCACCCACTATTGAACTAAATCACTATTTAACTCACTCACTATTTAACTCACTCACTATTTAAATCACTCACTATTTAACTCACTCACTATTCAACTCACTTACTATTCAACTCACTCACTATTTCACTCACTCACTATTTAACTCACTCACTATTTAACTCACTCACTATTCAACTCACTCATTATTTAACTCACTCACTATTTAACTCACCCACTATTCAACTCACTCACTATTTACCTCACTCACTATTTAACTCACTCACTATTCAACTCACTCACTATTTAACTCACTATTCAACTCACTGACTCCGCTTCGCGTGCTCCTCAGCAAGGAGCCCCTCACGAGCCCCAGACCAGGGCCCCTGTCCCCTCACCCCGTGTCCCCCCTGTCCCCTTGTCCCCTCACCTGGTGGTGTCTGTGACAAGAAACAGAAGCCGCAGCTGTCACTCAACTAGCACGCCCCGCCCCCTGCCCCTCCTACAACCGCTTTGCTTCACCCCGTCTCCCACAACCCCTTCGCGCCCCTCCCCCCACAACCCCCCAGCCCCTACAACTCCTGCGTGCCCCTCCCCCCACAACCTCCCCGCCCCTCCCCCCTGCGCCGTGAACGGCATCGTGCTGGAAACCCCCTTGAGCAGCAGGCGACCAATCGGGGCGCGGGACGAGGCTCGCTGCCCCGCTCCGATTGGCCGCGCTCCGATCGCTCGCGTGCTCTGATTGGTACCTGGTGCGATGTGTAAACATCGCCACTGAGGAGACAAAGGCGGTCGGGCGTGGTGTTGGCCACCCACCCCCTCGTGTGCCGTGCTGGCCTTCATAGGTGCTCGCTAACAGCACTTGCCCCTACAGTCTGTTAAGGCTACACGGGGGATCTTTGTCTGTGTGAGTACTGTGCCAACTTGCTATGCTTTAGCCACCCGGCGCTCCGCTCGTTGTTGTGAGCGTCGCTCCTCCGCCCTCCATTGTTGGAGGACGACTGCCTCCAACTGCCCAGTAGCGTCCTTCACGAGACTCCTCCACAGAGGCTAATCTTGACACCGCTGGTACCAGTCATCGGCAAGTCCACTCAGCTCCACGTCCTCCTGTTCCACATCACTCCATCTCTTCTCTAGCCCGTGCCGCGCCCATTTATCCCCCTCTATCCAGCCAAACAAAAGCCATTTAGGCATGCGGTGACTGGGCATGCGGGCTACATGACCCAGCCAACGCAGCGCCGGATGAGCTCACCGATGGGACATTGTCCAGATCTTTCAAGGATTTGTGAGCTCCTCACACAATCCAGCCTGGTTAAACACAGGGTGGATCGTAGGCAGGCCAGCCTAAATGTTTCTAACCGGCGAAGATGCTCCATTAGGGGGGTCCACGTTTTGCAAGCGTAGAGAAGGGAGGGCATGACTGTGGCCGAGAAGACCTGAAGCTTCGTGCGGAGCGACAGACCCAGGTAGCTTCCACACAGCGTTACGCAACCGATGAAAAGATATTGCCGCTCGACTGATTCGGAGTGAGACCCCTCTGCTGTTAAACCGGAGCCAGTCATGAGCACACTGCCCAGGTATGGGAAACTCTCCACTCTCCACAACTACCCCATCACCATCATGGGACCTCCTTTGCAGGGCGCGTAAATACTTGGGGAATTGGATACTGACAGGATAGGCTCTGCTCGCAGAATATTTCCTCCGGGCTGCTTGAGACTTGGGGCGAATGTCACGGAAGGGGCTGGACATTTGCTCGGCTCTGCCACGGCGAGACGCGGGGGTGGGATGGTGGTTGGTGGTGCTCCCTTCCGCCGTGAGCCCGCGGCTGCCGTGTGCGCGTCTCGATCAACGAGACTCGTCCATATGCTTTGGGTCTTTCGGGAAAGTCACGTAGATGGGGACAAAAAATAATAAAAACTACGACGTTTCGATCCCAACACAAGCGACCGTTATCATGTAGAAAAAAGGGAGGGGGGGACCTCGTAGTTTTTATATTTTTACTTTTTTATGATTATTTTTACTTTTTTTATCCCATTTACGTGACTTTACAGAAAGACCCAAAGAATATGAATTCCTGCAGTGACGAAAGCTTTAAGTCAAGAGAATCATCAATTGACTGCAGTCGTCACGGCAGAGGCATCGTTACAAACAGATATTCAGTAAATTTGAAGAGTCTCGTGAAAATGCGGCAGCTTCAAATGTAGTTGGACGACTTCGATTCCGCACCGGGCAAGACGCCGCGTGCGTCTGGTGCCCTCGACTCCCACGTGCTCCTCTTGACGTCCCTCGCTGCCATTGCACGTGAGCAGCTCTCCCCATGCTTTCTTGGGCACCCACCTAAGCCACCCCAGACTAAGACTGGAGTGATCTCAAAGTTACAAACGTCTACGGGTGAGGCCCACTGTCTTCTAAGATCCAGGTCCGGTTCAATGCAGTACACAAAATCCGTGATCTGATCCCATCCGTAAAGGATGTCATTCCTGACTTACAGTACCCCGGTGTTTACAAATTGAGTTGTACCTGCGGTGACTGCTATATCGGGGAGACGAAACGACATATTTCTGACCGAATTCGCGAGCACAAATCATATTTGAAACACGGCAGAACGAATTCTTCGGCCGTAGCTGATCATTGTTTCAACACAGCGGGTTCTCATATTGTTTTCTCCGATATCAAAGTACATCTGCAAACCTCCCGGATACTACCAAAGATTTGTCCATGAAGCCATCCAGATATACAAACATAGACACAACTTCAACCGAGAGGATGGTTTCAAATTAAGCAATCATTGGAAAGATGTCATCAACCAAGTCAAACATCAGCTGCCACATGGCACTCTCTCCGTCCCCCTAACTCCCTGCAGCATAACAAAAGGCGGGTTAACTTAGCCCCCCCCCCCCCCCCTCCTGAACCTGTATACAATCTCGTGTCTCTTTGAGCTCTCTTCACTGGATACAGCAAGTTTGCTGTGATGGTTCCAGCTGAAGACGAAGCTTGTGTTGCCTCCGAAACGTCGTCATTTAATTCATTTTTTTTACCGACGTCACTTTACCGAAAGAAAACAAAGATTATGGGCCTCATTGTTGTCGTCAGGGGCAGAGCCTCCAGGGGGCGGGGCGTGGACAAACACGCGGTGACCTCATTGTTGTCGTCCCCAAGTGGTCACGGAGACCACCCACAGCACGAGGCACTGCCAACAGACTCGGGCAAGGGCTGCAGTAGATGTTTAATGGAGCAATTAGCAAGCAGCGGGTTTTACATGACAATCACGTCGACTTATAATGGTTAATGATCACCGTGAAGAAAATGCAGAATGCCTTTTAAGAACCTCATCCCTTAGCCGCCAAGTCTACAACAGCACCTGGGAGGCTCTTGCGGAGTGGGATTATGGAATTTCTCTCACTTGATACAGCTGTCGTGCTGTGACGGTTCCACCTGAAGACGGAAGCTTGTGTTGCCTCCGAAACGTCGTGATTTTTATTTTATTTTACTTTTATTAATTAAAAAAATGTATCTACGCGACTTTACCGAAAAAACCTAAGAATATGAATCCTTGCAGTCACGAAAGCTTCAAATCTAGAATTATGGCTCCTCCCAGGCGAGCGGTAGAGCTGGCGGGACGACCTCACCCCGACGCTCAACTAGAACCTAACGCCGTCTTCCACTGTTCATGAGCACGAGCCCAGGTTCTACTTTGTGTTTGATTGCGATGGTGCTAATCGAGGCCACCACGGCAGGCAGGTGACGAGGAGCAGAGAGGCTCTCGGCCTTCTGGAGTCTGCAGCCCCGATGGTCCGGCCACTGCCGCTGCTGCTGCACTCCTCATCACGACTCGCCAGGGCTTCGTGGCCCTTGGAGCCGATGGCTCTTCCACACCGACTCCTTGGTCGTCTCCGCTCCCCCACTGCTATCCACGGCCTCGCTCGTAGGCACCTGCAGCACAGCTACAGTGGAGAACCCCCGCCGTGAACAGCGGCCAGGGCCGCTCTGCCGAATGGAATCGCGCTCGGACCATCGTAACCAAACCCTATCGGTTGCGCTAGAATCTACTTTATCGTGTAAAATGTTAAAATTAAAGCAAAAGATTACGAGATTAAATGCCGCCTCCACCAGGCTCCGTCTCTGCTCGCTGCACTTGCCACGAGTGCCCACGTCTACGCCACTGCCCCTCCTCCTGCTGCCCAACCCGGACCCAGGGGCCCACCGCCCCGCGACGAGGCCTCTCCCCTCCAGGCGGAGCCCTGCCGGCTACCACGCACGCCGCGCGAGTGGAGCCGTCTCCCGCCCTCGCTGCACATTCCCACACCGCCACCCCCACCTGACCGCGTCCCTGCTGCTGCCAGTGTTGACGTGCACACGGAGCCGCCGCTGCGTTCACGCGAATCTCAGCCGGGCACCTCGCTCGATTACTACGAGGCCCGGTCCAACGACACCCATCGGATTAACTGCGATTGACGAGGAGGCTCGTGACATCGACAATAGAGGATTGTTGTGGGTGAGATTGTGTAAATGTGTCGTTAAACCCACCACTACCTGACACGGACATCAGGCCGGTTGTAATTACCGGCGAAACGCCGTACTCGAGTTGTAAATGTTGTAGTGGGTTTACTCTCAACACACAGCTGCTTAGTGCTGTACTCGAGTTGTGGATGTTGTAGTGGGTTTACTCTCAACACATAGCCGCTTAGTGCTGTACTCGAGTTGTAGATATTGTAGTGGGTTCACTCTCAACACACAGCCACTTAGTGCTGTACTCGAGTTGTAGATGTTGTAGTGGGTTTACTCTCGACACACAGCCGCTTAGTGCCGTACTCGTCACTAATTGGCAGGTTTTGTTTACGTGACAAACCTTACTAATTGGCTGTGTTGGGTGGTGGGGGGTTTAACGACACTTTTATATTCACGCAATTTAACCCAAAAGCCTCATGGATAATATTGGTCACGAAAGCCTCCTCCTACTACTACTAATACCGCTGCTGCGTGTTAAACAGAATCATGACAACAAAGAGAAGGAACCCGGAGACCCAGAGACAAGAAGCTGATTGGGGCAGTGGATGGCCTCTTCACGTCCACAGGTGGCCATGGGCCACGGGCGTCTGAGAGCATTCGGTGTTGTCTGCAAGCAGCAGCATCACAGAGCCTGTGCCAGTGTGAGCGCCACTCACTCATGGCCATTCAGCTGCAGCAGCATCGCAGAGCCTCTGTCAGTGTGAGCGCCACTCACTCATGGCCATTCAGCAGCAGCATCGCAGAGCCTCTGTCAGTGTGAGCGCCACTCACTCATGGCCATTCAGCAGCAGTATCACAGAGCCTGTGTCAGTGTGAGCGCCAATCACTCATGGCCATTCAGCAGCAGCAGCAGCAGCACAGAGCCTGTGACAGTGTGAGCGCCACTCACTCATGGCCATTCAGCAGCAGCAGCACAGAGCCTCTGTCAGTGTGAGCGCCACTCACTCATGGCCATTCAGCAGCAGTATCACAGAGCCTGTGTCAGTGTGAGCGCCACTCACTCATGGCCATTCAGCAGCAGTATCACAGAGCCTGTGCCAGTGGGAGCGCCACTCACTCATGGCCATTTAGCAGCAGCATCATCACAGATCCTGTGCCAGTGTGAGCGCCGTGCTGGCCTCTGTAGGCCTCAAAGAAGCCACCGTCATCGTCTGCGGGCATGCAGTGTGAATGGCCGTGCGCCCAAGCCCTGTTCAGGGTCCAGTACCCATGGTCGTCAGACGAGCCCAGTCGGCTGTGCTGGGTATGCGTCACCTGCGTCTCCTGTGTGGCGTGAGTGGTTGTCAGAGAATGCAGTTATGCTGCGGTAGAAATGGCGTGGCATGGAGTTATCAGCGTAGAGTTAGAGGTTTGGAGTTACGAGTGTCGAGTTAGAGGTGTAGAGTTATGAGTGTGGAGTTAGAAGTGTAGAGTTATCAGTGTGGAGTTAGAGGTGTAGAGTTACGAGTGTGGAGTTAGAGGTGTAGAGTTATCAGTGTGGAGTTAGAAGTGTAGAGTTATCAGTGTGGAGTTAGAGGTGTAGAGTTATGAGTGTGGAGTTAGAGGTGTAGAGTTATCAGTGTGGAGTTAGAGGTATTCAAGTGCGCATGACAGTCACTGGTGCTCAGCTACATTTAGGTGCAGTCCCCGGTGTGTCTGGACGTACGGGCATGTGGTTGTCATGTGTGTGGTGTGGTTGAGTTGTCCTGTGTGGCTGTTGTCGTCATGTGTGTGGTTGTGCTGTGTTTGTGTGGTTGAGCTCCATCAAGCTGCTCTGTCCTCGACTCTGCCACCTGCAACAGCAGCAGCAGCAGCAGAGAAAGGTGCCGCGGAACGTCCTGTGAGAGCAGAGCACAGGCAGCGCGTGAGAGTGGTGATGGGTGGCGGTGGTGAGTGCACAGTGGGGTGAGTGTGAGAGTGGTGGTGTTCACTGTGTGGTGAATGTGATCCAATCTCCGACCCCCAGGAACAGGTTTGCAGATATGCAGAGTATTTCTGTGAGGTCCTGCGGGATGGGACAACCCTCAGCCTGGATAACAACGTGGGACAAAGTGGGGATGACCCTGCCGAGGCTGTGGTGCCATCTGTTGAGGAAGTACTGAAGGCGATCCAGAGTCTGAGACCAGGAAAGGCACCAGGCAGAGATTATCTCCCAAGCGAAATGCTGAGGGAGGGTGTCGTTTGTGCACAGACTGCCCTATATGACATAATAACAACAGTCTGGACCACTGGACACGTTCCGCAGGATTGGTAGGACGCCCTGGTGGTCCCCCTATTTAAGAAGGGGGACCGCACAGACTAACAACTCTTGGCAATAATTACGTAACATCGCCTTGCTAGGCACGCTGAGGAGAGGCTTGTGGAGCCCCAATGCGGTTTCAGGAAAGGGCGGTCCTGCACAGATGCCATAATTTTTTGTCCGTCTGCTACAGCAGAGGTGTAGCAAATTCCAACAAGACCTACATCTCTGTTTTATTGACCTGCTCAAGGCCTATGATACCATCAGTAGGCCTGGGCTTTGAGTTGTTCTTCGTGCTTTCGGAGTCCCTGACCCTCTGTTCACGAATGTAGTGCCGTAGATGGGCTACACTTACCGGCAGTGGTAGACGGGGCCCATCTGCAGGCGGTACTTCGTACCACCAGGGGAGAGGCTGCTGGGGGCTCAGGATCCCAGACAGCTAAGCCCTTCGACGCCCCCAACGGGGGGGGGGGGGGCGCTAAGGGGGTTCTGGAATCCCACGCGGCCCCACCCCTCAATGGGCAAGGGGCATAAAAGGGGAAAACGTCCCCAGCCGACCTGGAGCAGTCGCTGCCAAAGAACCAAGAGCGGCCAGCTTAGGACCCTGGACCCCCTCGCCCCGCTTGTCCTTGTCAGGGCCGGGACGCTGTGAGGGCAGTGATGGGACTCTGGGACTCCCGGCCCTTCGCCCTTGTAAGGGCGAGGTCCGAGGAAGCCAGAGCCTAGACCCGCACCTTGGCTGGGTCGGGTCAGGTAGCCTCCCCTAGGGTAATCGTAGCCGGAGGGCCCGAGAGCGTAGCCGGTGTCAGGCACGCTAGAAGTAGGCTGTGCCCCTAGGCTGTATCAGGACTAAATTTCGATTTAAAGCTTTCGTGACTGCAGGGATTCATCTTCTTGGTTCTTTCGGTAAAGTCACGTAGAAGGGAAGTAATAAAATAATAAAAATAAACCATAATAAAATAATTCTCACAACGTTTCGGCCACAACGCAAGCAGCCGTCCTCAGGTGAAAACCAGGTCTGTCGAGGCAACAGCGTCTGAATGAAATAGCACCATGCTTGGAGCATATATTTAAGCTGGGTTGGAAGGGGGGGAAAGGGCGCCTTGACAAAAGAATTTGCATATCAAAAGGAATTTAGCATAATTATGGGAAATGCAGGTATGTGATTAGTACTACTTAAGCCCGTGCATTATGCAGGATTAGCAGCATCAAAGGGAGGGGATATGGGAAATGCAGGTATGTGATTAGTACTACTTATGCCCGTGCATTATGCAGGATTAGCAGCATCAAAGGGAGGGGATATGGGAAATGCAGGTATGTGATTAGTACTACTTATGCCCGTGCATTATGCAGGATTAGCAGCATCAAAGGGAGGGGATAGGGGTAGCATTAATAAAGGGAAGGAGTGTTAATAGTATGTAGCTGCAGTAACTAGATGACACTTTTGTCATCTGGCCACATGGCCGGCCTGCTCTAGACTAATTTCTCGACTACATTAATTCCATACACCCAGCCATCAGATTCACCATGGAAATCGAAAAAGATGGCAAGCTACTCTTTTTGGATGTCCTAATTAAAAGGAGACCTGATGGTTCAATGAGCCACTCTGTCTACAGGAAAGCCACCCATACGGATGCTTACCTAAAACCGGATTCCCACCACCATCCATCCCAGAAGAATTCCCTCATCAAGACTCTATACCATAGAGCCCAATGCATATCCGACCAGGAACACATTGCCAGTGAACTCAAACACGTACGCCAGGCTCTTAAGGCTAATGGTTACTCCGACAACACAATCCGCAAAGCCATCACTCCAACCATCAAGAAGGATCCTGTTGAGGAGCCTTTCAAGACCATCACCTTACCCTACATTGCTGGGGTCACAAAAAAGATCTCTAAAATCCTGATAAAACACAAGATCCAGGTCCGATTCAACACAGTACATAAAATACGTGATCTGGTCCCGTCTGTAAAAGATGTGGTTCCAAACATACAGTACCCTGGCGTCTACAAACTAAGTTGCCTCTGTGGTAGCAGTTACATTGGAGAAACCAAACGACATGTCTCTGACCGCATCCGTGAACATAAAGCAGACTTGAAACACGGTAGGACAAACACTTCAGCCGTAGCAGATCACTGTTACAATTCAGTGGGCTCACATGATATTGACTTCTCCAAGACAGAGGTTCTCTGCAAGCCATCTGCTACCATGAGAGATTCGTTCATGAGGCGATCCACATATACAAACACAGAGACAATTTCAACCAAGAAGATGGATTCTGGCTTAGCAATCATTGGAAGGACGTAATAAACCATTTCGGATCTTAACTGATTGTGTTCACGTTTACGGTGACTTTCAGACCGCGTTCCACTCACTGGCATTGTATTCTCCGCAGGGAATGAATTCTTTGCTCCGCTGCAAGTCTCCCTCACTACTCTCCCATTGACATATTTCGTTGCTTCCTCTTAGTATCTTTCACACGACGGTCAATGGTACAGTGTATAATAACAAATAGTATAACATTTATATGCTTAATACAATGTACAAATTAATATATAGTATCGTAATTGTATAGTGAATATACAGCAGTGTGATATACATTAGGGTGGGTAGATTAATACATAGTGTAATATTACAATGTATAAGGTTTAGGGTGGTTTATAGCAATACAGTATATAATTTAATGTTGGGTTTGTCTATGGCAGTATATAGTACGGTGTAGACTCTTGTGATGTAAGAGAATAAAGTTTAGATGGAAGCATATTATATTTTTACGACGAAGAATTGTAATGTATTACTTACTGTTAGGTACTCAGCTTATTGTAGAGTATTTTTAGTATACTGATGATACTATGTAGTTTATACTTTAGTTGTTTACGTGGTGGTTTTAGTTACTGCAGCTACATACTGTTAACACTCCTTCCCTTTATTAATGCTACCCCTATCCCCTCCCTTTGATGCTGCTAATCCTGCATAATGCACGAGCATAAGTAGTACTAATCACATACCTGCATTTCCCATATCTCCTCCCTTTGATGCTGCTAATCCTGCATAATGCACGGGCATAAGTAGTACTAATCACATACCTGCATTTCCCATAAATATGCTAAATTCCTCTTGATATGCAAATTCTTTTGTCAAGGCGCCCTTTCCCCCCTTTCCAACCCAGCTTAAATATATGCTCCAAGCACGTGTGCTGTTTCATTCAGACGCTGTCGCATCGACAGACCTGGTTTTCACCTGAGGACGGCTGCTTGCGTTGTGGCCGAAACGTCGTGAGAATTATTTTATTATGTTTTATTTTTATTATTTTATTACTTCCCTTCTACGTGACTTTACCGAAAGAACCAAGAAGATGTATCAGGACTGTTGGTGTGGTGTGTTGTAATAAATAGTCTCCTTTACAAGTGTCTCTGGAACCCATTACACGATCATTAAGGACCTTCATGATGGTGAGCGTTCCCGGGTAAAACTATGTGGCCGGGAGTCGGAGCCATTCCCTGTACACCTTAGGGTAAGACGGCAATCTCCTTTGGCTCCCACATGATTTAACATCTTTTTAAACCACGTAGTTCATGAATCCTTTAATAGCTGTACCGGAGGAATTTCCATCTGGTACAGATACAATGGGAGGCTGATCGATGCCCGGATGCGGTCAAAGGATGGCTCCCCATTGCTCAACCACGTTATGTATGCCGATGACCTGGTGATTGCGGCTCACTCAGAGGAGGAATTGGAGGCGCTGCTGCTGAACCTGGAGTGTGCCACTAAGAGGTGGGGCCTTACCATCAGCCTCAACAAAACGAAGCACCTGCCTGGGTATTTTGTACCATCGGGCAATCCACCCACACAACTCCAAATCGGTGATAGGGCAGTTGTGGAGAGACTGGAGAGTTTCCCATACCTGGGCAGTGTGCTCATGACCGGCTCCGGTTTAACAGCAAAGGTCTCACTCCGAATCAGTCGAGTGGCTTTGTCTTTTCATCGGTTGCGTAATGCTGCGTGCAAGCTACCTGGTCTGTCGTTCCGCACGA